CTGTGGCTGCTCCATTCCTGGAAGTGTTCAGGGCCAGGCTGGACATGGTGCTCGGTGTGCTGTCCTGCTCCCTTAATGGAGCATCCAGGATTTGTAAATGCTTGTAGTCTAAACGAACAAAAATCACACCTTCTAATACAAGCCTGTGGCAGTGGGTTTTGGATAAAGGGATAGGGTGAAAGGGAAGAAAGCAGAGTGAATTAAAGAKGGGGAGAGARTRTGAGAGAGAGAGATCACAAGSCMTGGCTCCAGTGTTGATCCAGCTGATGGGGTGTCCAGGGTCCTGGGGTGCCTGTGCACATGCTCTTTGTGGTGAGACCTCTTACAGATGAGTTTCCCTGACCTGGAGGCAAGTTTCTTGTTTTCTATGCATTTATCATCTGCAATTCATTCTTCTAAACCTTCCTGGAAATGTGTCAGAGGGCTTCAGGTATCTCTGGTGGTCTTGGATTCCTCCTACAGTCCTAGACTACATCTCAGCCTTATTCCTGTGCTGTGATGTGCTTATCTCCCCGAACTAGAATAAGGATGKTTGTCCCAGAAATATGCTGCTCAATTTCTGAATAGCCCCTTTTCCAAACACATGCTGTTCCTTCTCACAGCTGTGAGAGAAACTGTTTGCTTTTGCCAGCAAACCTTGTTGTTACCAACAATCCTTGGTTGGTTCCACTTATCCAGCTATCGATTGAGGAACACACCCTCTTCTATACTTGGGGCAACCAGATTTAATCCATGAAACAGAGCAGCTCACAAGCAAGCTCTGAGTGATGTCCAGTGTTACGAGAAAACAAATTACCTGTTGGTGGAATTGCCTTGTCAAGGTTTAGGGCTTGACAACCTTTAATGATCYCAGAGCTAGGCAGGGGTAAACAAAGCTTGGGGAGAAGGATGTACCACTGATACTAGGCACAGAGAATGCAGAATTTACAGTCCACAGGGGTATGTGGTCGAGCTTCCAAGATGACGAAGAAGCTAACAAAGTGAACTCAGCATCTGTGCTGAAATCTAAATGGTAATTCTGACAGGGGGGATCTGTGATCGCTGACTCAYGGACCACTGACCCAAGAAACCCATGTACCCCAGAGAAGAGGAAGACTGGCATAAGAAACTACAGAATCATTAACCAATAGTATACTAAATAAGAGAACAATGTAACATGTAGCCAGTGAATACTAGTTCCTTTGTATGCTAAAATGTATAAATACTGAAAGGTTTTGATAGTTGTGGAGTACCACTGAGCAGCCAGGCTTGCACAACTCTGAAATAAATAATCAATTTCTCTCCCGACATTGTGTAATTAYTGGCTTGTTGCACACAWGGTAAGGAATCCAATTTTTGCAGACACTACTGTCACTGTCCCTATCCTTTCCCTACCTCTGACACTGAGCCCACCAAGCTACAACAGTTATGATTATGCAGTTGGATATTGTGAGCACTGTATGCTTGCCTAATCTTTTAAGGAAAGCAAGACGATTCCAGTAGGAATGGGCTGTTTGGATSAGAGCCATCCGGACTGAAGTAGTACTGGGAGAAGAGTAATTCTGGCAGTGGGAGATTGTGGCCAGCATCTATCTCATTGTCCGCCAACTCAAAACAGACTAATTAACATGAGAAAATAAATCTAAGTAGCAGAAGGCTCTGAATGGTAATTAATTGAAGTGGTAGTTAATAGAATGGTACTAGTGAGAAATTATGTAATTTGTAACCAATGAATGCTGATGCCTTTGGTTGTTAAAATGTAAAAATACAGTAACATTTTGATGATGGATCTCCTAGACACCCAGCTCCCTGCTTTGTGCTAACTAGAACAAGAGAAATACCTCCCCTGGTGGTGCTGCAGACCGGGGAACAAATCCGCGGTCGGGAGAACATTTCTGTCCCTCATTCTGTCCTTGTCTCTGACTCTGTCCTTATCCCTGCTGATTTCCTTGCCTCGGTCCCTGTTCTTGTCCCAGTTCCTTTCCACGGCCCTATCCCTACCCTTAGCCCTTTCCATGCCCCTGTACTTGTCCCTGCTCGTTTCCGTGTTCTTGCCCTTGTCCCTGTCCCTGCTTTAGTTCCTGTCCGTATTCCTTTCCCTGTCCTGCCCTTGTCCCTGTCCCTGCTTTAATTCCTGTCCGTATTCCTTCCCGTGTCCCTGCCCTTGTCCCTGTCCCTGCTTTAATTCCTGTCCGTATTCCTTTCCCTGTCCTGCCCTTGTCCCTGTCCCTGCTTTAGTTCCTGTCCGTATTCCTTTCCGTGTCCCTGCCCTTGTCCCTGTCCTGTCCCTGCTTTAATTCCTGTCCGTATTCCTTCCCGTGTCCCTGCCCTTGTCCCTGTCCCTGCTTTAATTCCTGTCCGTATTCCTTTCCCTGTCCTGCCCTTGTCCCTGTCCCTGCTTTAGTTCCTGTCCGTATTCCTTCCCTTGTCCCTGTCCCTGCTTTAATTCCTGTCCGTATTCCTTTCCGTGTCCCTGCCCTTGTCCCTGTCCCTGCTTTAATTCCTGTCCGTATTCCTTTCCCTGTCCTGCCCTTGTCCCTGTCCCTGCTTTAATTCCTGTCCGTATTCCTTTCCGTGTCCTGCCCTTGTCCCTGTCCCTGTCCCTGTCACTGTCACTGTCCCGTCTCCCGTCGTCCCTCACTCCCCGCCCTCACGCTCCTCCCAGCGGCCACCRCTCCCCGCCCCTTCCGCTCCCTCAGGGCCGTTTCAAGGGCACCTCCCGCAGCGGGCTCTTTCCTAGAAACCTCATTTAGGTTTTAAAAATTATTTTTATTATTTTTTATCACATATTATGCATACTTGTGTSCGCATATAGATATATATATAGACATACACACAGTTATAAATCAGGGGCACGGGAAGCGGTTCCGTTGCGCGCCCCGCCCTCTGGGCGCGGCCTCGGCGCCAAAAGGGGCGTGAGGCGCCGCCGCCATTTTGTGTGCAGAGCGCGGGGCCGGCAGCCCTCTGCGTCTCCCAGCTTCAGCCTCCATCGGGACCCGCCGCCACCACCGCCACGATGCTCTCCGCCCGTGTGGCCGCCGCCCTCGCCCGCTCCCTGCCKCGGCAGGCCGGCCTGGTGAGCGCCATGCCCGCCCCGGGGCCGGCGGGGTCGGGGGGGACGCGGCGCTGCCGCCATCTTGGGGCCCACGGTGACATTGAGGGAGTGAGGGGGTGACATCGGAGTGTGGGGAGGGAAGCYGGAGATGCCCCCTTAGTGCTGTGTGACAGATCCCCGCTGAGGAACGGAGTGTCCTCGCCCGGGCTCGGGGTAGTGGCTGAAAGCGGCCCGGGCA